TAATTAAGAGGTCTTAACCTACTATTTTGTAGGGTTTGGGGTCACAGGTCATACTTAGCTAAGGCTCTTATAGGGTTCCCTAAGTGTGTCCCGTTCCTCGCTGGAGGTGTAGGCCGTTGGCGGAGGGTGTACGGCTGCGCGCGTTCTGTCCATGACCAAGCTGTATGTAAGCGGTGTGTTGGCCCGCACTCCACACGGATCCTCCCGTTTCCAGGCCTTCCAAAATCCCTTACCCTAAGGGTCCATGTACCCAAATAGTAGAACATTGGCCTTAATGTAGTCCCTATATGGGTACTTTAGGGCCAATGTTCTACTATTTGGGTACATGGACCCTTAGGGTTATTTACGGAATATACGTTGAGTTGCAGTAGGATAAACCCTAAAACCTGAACCCTATGTTGATTTAACCCTCCAGGCTTCCAAGGACTTTATAGTGAGGATTTAGGGTTTAGGGTTTAGGGTTTAGGGTTTAGGGTTTAGGGTTTAGGGTTTAGGGTTTAGGGAACCCCTTAAGTTAAGTACCGGAACTAGGGCAATAAGTGGTAATCGGTTTAGTTGTCTTGCTTATAAGCCTTGTTACTAGGTCCCATGAACCTCCCGCTAGGCCCGATTGGTAGCAAGATGCCTACTATAACCATTATAGAACCCCATATAGAACCCTTATACAACCCCTTATAGTAAGTAGCACCGAAAAACCTAAAGCCCTTTCAAAAAAGGTTACCTACTCCACTACTAGGCAACGCTCAGCAAAATGCTGCGGAAAACGCGAGGTGGGGGGGGGCAACTCACCGAGGTGACCCAAGAAACGATACCCAAAATCTAACTCAGCCATTAAACCGAAATCAGGTTTAGGGTTTAGGATTTTGGGGGTTTTGGGTATAGGGCTTAGGGTATCCCTAATCCCTACACCCTAGAACGCTAAACAACTAAACCCAAATCCCTAAACACGAAACCCTAACCTGCAGTTTCTGGAAACAGCATAGCAGCCTGCCAGAAATAGGCGCTGCCGGCTATGCGCGCCTGCGTGACCTGCCACGTCATACTTGGAGGTTCATGGGACTTACTAAGTACAGTTGTAACTCTTTTAAATAATTCAAAGTATAGTTGCCTTAATTATAACCCCAGTTACTAAGTCCCATGAACCTCCAAGTAGGGCTCCTTTTTGGGTTGTTTTCAGGGTTCCTGCAACGGGATTCCGGGGTCAGGGTCTAGGGGTTTAACGGTTTCGGGCTTGGGGTGTAGGGTTTAAGACTCAGGGTGTAAGGTCAATGGTTCAGGCTGCTGGGTTTAGGGTTTAGGGTTCACCCTGCTAACGGATATAGTACTATCTTTACACTTGATAGTAGGCATTATTCGTATGCTTCAAACCGAAAACCCCAAACCCTAAAACCCAAACCCTGAACCCCAAACCCACCTGCAAGAGCGGCCTCAGGAAGGCCCAACGCCCAGACCAAGACTCCAATCTTTAAACACCAGAACCCAAATAAATCCTCTAAGCCCTAAACCCTCAAGCCATAAATTTCAAACCCCTAACCCCCTAAACCCAAAACCGAAACACGCACCAGAACCCTACGCCCGGCAAACGTAGACTTTCAAGCCTTGCCCCTAACTTGGACAAAAACCCCTACAAATGCCGTAAGCCCTCACTTTAAGGTTCATGGGAGTTAGTATAAGGCTATAAATAAGGGTAGCCGTAGCAACTGTACTTATAATTAATTAACCATTACTACAGAAATATTAGCAGCTATTTAAAAGTATGACTATTTGTTCATACTCTAGTAATGCTTACTAAGTGTTACCTGTGACCCCAAACCCTACAAACTAGTTGGTTATGACCTCTTAGTTAGAGGGTAGAACCCTTAAAACGGTAGGTTTTGGGATCCCCAGGGGCAGCCCCGAAACCCAAACACCCCTAAACCCCTAAACCCTAAACCCTAAAATCTATAACTCCGCGAGTATGGTTACACTTGGAGATCCGCTTCATCGGACGCCTCGTTGCCGAAAGCGCTCCGGATCTTCATGCCGCCCAACCTCGGGAGTAGATCCGGGCTTGGGGTGTACTTAAAGGATCATGGGGCTTAGTAAGTAGGGTTATAATTAAGGTAACTATACTTATACCAAAAAATTAGGGTTAAGGCTTGGGGTGTTGGGTTCAGGGTTTAGGGTTAAGGGTTTAGGGCTTCAGGGTTTAGGGTTTAGGGTTTAGGGTTTAGAGCCTAGGGTCTAAGGGTTGGAGGCTTCCTTTTTGGGGGACTAGGGATCCTTTAATACTTTAAAGCTTTAGGGTTTAGAGGTTGCTAGGTTTAGTGTGCAAGGGTTCCTATGAAGCCCTATAAGACTCTTGTAAAGTCTTCTACAACTCTATACAACCCTAAACCTCAAACCCGAAACCCTAAACCTCAAATCCTACACCGTAAACCCCAAACCCCACACCCTAAACCCTGAATCCTAGACCCC